GCCGAATCTGAAATATAGTGTCCGAGATTAAATGTGCCCGGCTTACGAATGTTCGGATCAGAGATGACCATTATGACGAACGTGTTGGGAGTGAAGCGATCAATTATGGCTAGAAAGTCGGAGTTGGAGAGGTCCAAGGAGTTGAAAGCAGCGTGGTGCTTGCTGAGTTCAAGATTCGTTTAGCGTTGGAACAACTCCAAGGCTGGCTCACTTGGCACTCAGTTTGAGCTACTTCACAATATTTGATATCCTCTCGAACCGATGCGGGTCGGTCATGTGCTTCGCAGTGTGATTGACAATGACCAGAAAATTCCTGGCAGGAACGTAGACTTCTCAGACAAGACCACCTGACACTCCCATAGGCTTCCACATCGCGTACTCTCCGCCGACCTCTTCAGCTTCCACAGCACATGCGAGATTGGCAAGCTCTCTCTGCAGCTCGTCCATGTTGGGAATCAGCAAATGAGCGCTCTCTCATCAAGCTCTGGCCACCACACAAATTATAATACTCCTTTTATCACTACACTTAACGATAGAGTGTCTCGTCCCAGGTGCTTGTCTAGAAGATCTGGGTGATTATACCAGCGAAATATGGCAGGAGCAGCTCAGAGTAACTGATGACAGCAAAACCCGTCGTGGGAGATTCTCACGTTAGATTCTAACAGTTAGAACGACTACTGCTGTTCGCAGCGAGCCTCTCGGTCGTTCTCCGGCACGAGGTCGAACTTGTAGAAGAGGACGTAAACCTGGGCCGTTATGAACCAAGGATGATCTCGCAGGAGAAGTACATGAGCTTCCTTGGATAGAGACCGCAAAGACTTCATATAGTTCTTGAAGTAGGTGAGTCCTTCTTCAGCATCTCTTTGGTCGTTACCAGCGAGAGCAGCAACATATATCATCACACGCACCTGCTCAGCAAGCTTCGTCATTGGTATTTTACCCAAAATATGAAAAACACTAGTGAAAAATACATTCTAAGACTACTACATAACTTGAATATCGCTTTTTAATCGGGTATTACGCCACTTCCCGTGAAATGGGTGAAACTCCATTATTGCGTTTAACTACTAGCTCGCGACTGAGGGCCTTCTCGTTCTGCGCGTCGAAGGGTGTTTCCTCGAGACCATCGGTTGGATTGAAATTGAGAATTTCCCCAAAGGGTCGCTACTACATTGCGGGAAATGTGGTCCTTCTGGCTCTCGAAGTAGTTCTCCATGAAGACGTCCTGTCCTCCGTAGTCCCACAAGGTCAAGGTCACATTTCCGAGGAACCTCAGATGACTGTGCTCCACCTAAGGCGAGATCGACCTCAGAGAACAACGGAGGGAAGATACGCATCATTAGCTGGTTGGTCGGATGCAGCCTAGTGGTCTCCCGAGCTGAAAATCACAGACAGGATAAAGCGTCGCTGAACATCGCGAAAAATCAACAAAGTTGGAGGCCTGGGAGGGGCTTTCCGTAGTACTAAAGTGATTTGCGAGGATGATGGACCACATGCTGGTCTTGCCCGCTCCTGCTCGTTCCATCAACAGACCTCTTTCCACTCGAGCTTGCACTGAGATTGTTGATCAGAGAGAC